AGCCTTGCACAGCATTTATCCTCAAACACAGGAACTCTATGGCTTCAAAACCACAGTCAAAGCAAATGTCACAACCATCTCCTCCTCAGAGATGGAAAAGGCCTGTCACAGTCATTACCATGACACGAGCACCTACCAGCAGCTTCCAACTGCTCATTCAAATGCCAAGTGACAGGCAGATGTTTCCAGTAAGAAATACAGCCCTCTCAGAGCCTTGGGTTGCATCACCCACCAGGACAGCATTGCCTCAGCCTTCTCTGGCCGGGGCTGTGACCTGCTGGAGTCACTTGAGCTCAGCCGGGCTCAGCTCTGACCATGGGGCCCAGACACACCACGTGGCACTGCTGGGACTGGAGAGAGGTTTGCTTTTCCTTGTCACAAACGTCTTTGTTAGCAGGAAGCTGTCAGGAGAAGGGGACATAAGACAACTTCCACCCTGCCTATTGTTTTCCCAGCAGCGTTTGTGTAGTGGATTTCTAAAAGAAAAAAAAAAAACAGACCACAGCTGGGAATTTGAAATAACACTAGGACAACTGTGCATGCTCTGTAATGAATTGATAATTAAGATAGAGTATAAACCATTTAAGTTGAAATGTCACTGATAAGTACACAGGAGGATTATAAACCCCATAACATTGCACGTTCTCTGGTGCACAAACTCTATCCTTCTTGCAGGCTGCGTCTACATCTCCAACATCACCAGGGTACAACAGGGCCAGCAGATGGGGAGCAGGTGCAGTGGAGATCAGTGTGTAATATGGGCATGGACATAAACTCAGAGCTGACACTCCAGGGCAAGCTGGTTGCTTCATTGACAGGTCGGGAAATACTTTGCTGCTGCAAGATAGTAAGGGTTTTAATGAGTTAGAAGTTCCTCCTGGTCAGCTGGCAGCCACCTGAGTCCTGTGAACAAAGTTTGAGGGGGCTTAGGGAAGAGTGGGCAGGTTGATGAAGAAGAGAGCTTGAAGGTGGCAACAGTTGAGTTCAGATCACAAGGAACTGATCATTAAACCACCAAAGCTGGCATCACCACCTTATTTAAGAACATTTCAAGACATCTTTAAAACAAAGAGCAGTGTCCAGCTATGAGATGAGTGATTAAAAACCCATGGTAGTCCCATAGGGAGAATGGAGAACTATCTCCAAACTAGCATCTCGGAGTTGACCTATGCACGTCTGTGCCTCTGTGTTTGGGAGACCAGAATGTTCTTCTGATACTAGTTAGGCAAAACTAGGGTTGGCAAAAGTACTGGCTGGTCATTCCCCTTTTATCCAGTTGACTCTTCTTGCTGTTTTTCTGTCACTTACTGAAGTGTGACAGTGACTAAAATGTCACTGCTGGGAACAAACTGGCACATACACATGTATGCTACATACATTGTGAGTCTCTTTCCCTTACAAATTCAAACCAAAATAACCTTTTATTTTATTTGGTAACTACTGCAACCTGGGCAGCTGTTCTGCTCTAGAGGAAGGGTTGAGGGGAAGAAAGAGAGAGAGAGGTAAGGCCTAGCAACAAATAGCTTAATTAATGATTGTTTTAATAATACTGTGAAGATGAGGAATACAGACAGCAGGTAAAATGAACATGCCCTCAGATGCTGGGCTCCTCACATGCACACAGCATCAGTCAGAGGCCACATGGATTTTCCCACAGCTCGCTGCACAGAGCAGATGCAAACCATCCATGGAGAGCTGCTCTCCCGTTTTGCCACTTGAGCTGGAAATTTTATAATTTCTATACACGAAACCAGCCTTTTATTCTAAAGGATGATCTCTTGTTGCTCCTCTGTTAGACAAAGGCAGGGCCAGGCAGGTGGTGTGGTCATGGCTCTGAGCGGGAGCTGCCTGTGAGCTCTGTTAGGGTGACCTGGCAGAGGGATTCTGTGCCTGTGGGTCCCTCGCTCAGGGTCAATACAGCAGCCCAGGAAATGCCCCCTCCCATCTGATTTCAGGCCTTGGAGAACAGTTTGGCACAGGAATCCAAGAGTTTGAAACTGCTGACTCCAGAGCTTGCTTGTTTTCAAAACCACCCCAGGGCTGGAGCTGGCCATGGCTGTGAGCTGGGATATGAAAGATCAGGCATTGCTGTGGCACCATCAGTCACACGTTGCAAGGCTGTCACTTTGCAAACACTTTCATGCTTTCTTATCTCCCAGGAACAACACAGCTGTGGGGCACAGCTGGTTCTCAGAGCTGTGAAAAAGCCTGAGGAACTGATGGCCAAGTCATACCCAGAAGGGCTCTCAATAGCTGTTTTGTCATTGTAACATCACAAAAAAGATAGAAAGAACTCAAATGAATGATGTTGAGCATAGTTTGCATTAGATTCCCTTTGAACTAGGAACCAGGTGGAAACAAATTGTAAAAGTGAGTGGTCATCAGGGTATACACCTTTTAAACAAAACCTTCCTAGCATGCTCTGCTCCCTTTACATAGGGCAACTCCAGGCACTCCAGGCTTTGGTAGACCTAGCTTGCCTCCTCCTCCTTCTTCTAGGCTTTCTCTAGTTTCCATGAGGTATGCTGTGTTGCTGCTCCCAGCCAGGCTTTTGTTTAAGGAGATGGGGCTCGGTTTGGCTTTTCCAGTGCAAGAAACTTGCACTGGATGTGGGCATATAGCAAATTTACAGTTACTGCTCTTCACAGAGTGTCTGTGAGCTGCATGTGTCACTGAGGGTGGGGGTAGTGGTTGAATGGCCAAGGTTTTACAGTGTGATCTCATTGCATAAAAGTACTGACTACCAACATGAGTGCAGCTTCAGTCTTTGAAATTCAGTAATTTTTGTTAGTTTTGGGTTACTTAATTTTGGGTACATTCTTCTAAGTAAAGTAGTGGACAAATGCTTGCAGGTTATTCAAGGTATTAATGTTTCATGGTCAGTTCTGTTCTCCACAAGTGAAACTGTTTTATACACAGGTATTGGGGCAAGAGCATCAGGACATGGTAAATATTATCACGTGGAGAATTTGTAAAATAAACTGGAAGTCAGTGATTCTAGGAAGTAAATGCTTAATTTCTTTTGCTACTTTTGAAATTCAAATATGAATTAAAACAGCTGACCTTCAAAGCAAATCTTCCTGTCTACCTCACATACTAATAGACTTCATGACCTAGTATACATTAAAAAATCCCTTGGCATGTAAACTACATAGTATTTATATTTATATAGAGTTTAGTATGCGATTGGACCACCAGAAGTAGCAGATTACAACCGAAAAATGTTCTATAACTAGACTTGTAGAAACTGAAACGCAGTTAAAAAGTTAGCAATGCAAACTCTAGACATTAAATCAAAGTCTGCAAAATGTGTTGCTATACATGGGTAGGTGTGTGGAGGGAGAAGGTAGAGAGGGAAAAAAAATTAGTCCTATATTAGAACAAAAACAAAAACCCAAACAACAAAATCTAGACAGTCTCCAGGACTGAAAGCAGTTACCTGCCAGCTACATATAGATGACAAGGCAAATGAAAAATCGCATGCCCCACTTGGAGGTACATCTTCATTTTTAAAAAAAAGTCACTTACAGGAGAGCAAGTTGGTGATTTGTCTTATATCCTGAACCTTTTTCAACCCTTGTCAGAAAATGATAAATTATTGAAGCATATTGTAGAGTAGCAACTCTATTTTGTGTTCTATCATAGCTTCTGAAGTGCTCAATGTGGAAAGGTCAACTACTGACTGCAAAATAATTTAGAATTATTTCTTCATCCTAAAAACCAGTAAAATTAAAATTTGCAGTTCACATTCTCTCCCTTTGATACTGGAATGTTACTATTTCCTGCTTGCATCAGAGCTACTGGTACTTGGGAAGAATGGGACAATGCTATACTCACACAGCTGTCTTGTGTTAATCCATCCAGAACTAGAACTATTTTTGTTCCTGGAGGCATTATAAACTGTCCAAAGAATAAAGCCAGGCTTCAGAAAGCTCATGTAAAAAGTTGGCTCAATAGCCTCACCATGAGGTACATTACCCTAAATTATAACTTCATCATGAAGAACAAGAAAACATTCTGAGTGTGTAATGTTAAGTGCAGGAACACTCAGGTGAAGAAGTGAATCTGAATTTTCAGAGTTGGTTTGGGTTTCTTCTTGGCTGACTGCATATAAAAGAAGATACACTTCAGAAATTGAAATAAGTATCCATGTAAAATTGAGCTGCTTTTATTCACTGTGCTTTGATTGGGGAGCATTGTTGCAAAATACACACAAACAGTTCCCTCTGGGAACAAAAAGTTCCCTCTCTGCTGTGGGCTCAGAGGTTCCCCCTCCCTAATGCATACCCCATACTCTAATGCACTTCTTCTCATTTCTGGCTAGACAAAGGGAATAGAGAGATGGTACCAGGCTGTGGGGGGGATGGACAGGAGAAAGAAGGAACTGGCTGGAGAGGACACATGTGGCATGTTTATAAAAGCTTTCAGATTCCTAGTGTATTTTCACGAGCAGATTTAGGTATTAGTTAAAATTGCTTTTTGCTGAAGAAGTCCATTGTGTTTGGTAGAGAAGCACAAGAAAAAGGTCACCCCAAGCAGAGGAAGGGTGGGGGGTACACAGGCAGGAGGTGAAGTAGCTACTAGGCTGTACTGACATACCAACTGAGAGCTCTTCACCTCTGACTGACTTCCTCAGCTGGCACAGAACTTTCTTTTCACCCTTAAGGCTTTTCTTCCATTTGATTCAATTCCTTCCCCACCCCTAACTGTTGAAGTGTCACTGTTACATCCCTTGATTCAATCCACAATTCAAGATTTTTTGGACAGTTGAACTTTTTAGCCGATGACTCTTACTAGCCTGGCATTTAAAGCTGACCCTGTGTTTTCCAAAAGGGACAGGTCATTGTCACCAAACTATTAGCATTTCCCTTCCCACCATCAGTTAAACTATTGTTCTGCCATCAATACAGAGCTCTAATTTGCAATTACTCCATGCCTGCTTACCTTCCAATGAGTACTTTTGTAACTGTTAGCATAATTAAATAAGCTGTTGCTTCAAATTAGTCTTGCAGCACTATTACATGCTTCCCTTTTATTTTTCTTTTGTACAATGGAACAAAGCAATGCTTTGAAACAAAAGCATTCAGGCAGTTTACACTCACATTTACATTTATTTTAAAAAATACTTAAACACTTGTGTATTTCACCTGTGGAATTTGAACTACAAATCAAATAGGGCTCATCACTTCAAAGAGGCTCACAAGTACAAAAAAACAGCCTCCTTCTGGCATCTTCACATCCTCCTCTTCTGGGTGCTTATGTACAACACTGTGAAAAAGAGAAAGTGGCACACAGAAGAGAGCCCTGGTAAATAACATGCAGAAGCCTTTTTATTTAAAACATCTTATTTCCATGGCATATAAATTGACACTGTAAGAGATCCCATTCAGCATGAACAACGCCAGGCAACCTTTAGGTCCAAATTTCAAAAAATGCCATTAGCTCTAAACATTATGTATTACTTTGCTTCAATATTTATTTTATTCATAGCCCAACTAGGCTACAGCAGATGTAGGCTGAACAGAGCAGGAACAAAGGCAGTGCCCTGCAGTATTACTGAGGGGAGCATGAGAGAGTTCCTCAGCAGCAGAATTACAGGTGTCAGACACTAATGCTGTGATCTTTCAATAAAAGCTGGAAATCCCAAGCACTTAAGGCAAAGCTAATGATTAGTTATGAAGGAAGAGACATCTTCCTCCTGCTTGGCTGATGATATTCCCAGAACAGATCCAGTCACAACATAAAATCATACTGTGCTCCTAAACCTGCCACCTCTTCAGTTCTCTGTTCAGCCTGTTCTTGAGCCTTCTGCCTCTCATCCCCTTGTTTTAACTTTCATAACAGATTATTTCCTTAATTGATTCTCCAGCTGAAATGTCACTCCAGTCCTTAGCATAATAGCCCAAATGCCTTGCAAAAAGCAAGGGTTGGCCTCATTTCAAGGATTATTTATCCACCCAAAATGCTCTTTTACACTGGTGCCACATTCTCTTCGATTCTTTCTCTAACATGGGGTTTGGTCCTTGTGTCTTTTTATTCCATCCCTCCTTGCTGAGCTCCATTTTCTTCACAAGTAACTTGGTCAAACTCTGCTTCATTTACCTCCTCTACAAGTCTCTTCACCTTCGACTTGTGAACCTTTTCTATTTTTAGATACTCTTCTCCCTGGCATGTCCTGCTATTACAGCCTGATACCAGAGTCATTTCAGGAGCCTGGGATTGTCCTTGAAGTGCACTAAAATCCACGTACTGCACTTGGATATTCAAAGGTTCGATATTAAAGCATGAGTGGTTTTTTTGACTGGCAGTAAAATCTTTATTCAAAAGATGAAAATAGCCTCCAGGACTAAGGATAAGCACTCATTCAGTCCTGGAAAACTGCTTCACCAGAAAGCAGTGTCACTGTAATATCTGCACTGTAGCATAAATTTATGCAGTAGCTTACCTAAAAACACAAACTCTTATGGTGCAGAGGCCATCTAGGCAAGCAGTAAGTGCAAAAGAGTAAGCCTGTCAAACAGTAGAAAATAAGCTCCAATAAGGCTAGAAAAGAGCATGGTTCTCTAAATGAACTTCAAGTTCAGAGGAAAAAAGGACCACAGGAATGCAGAAAAGCATAGACCTTGGAAAGAGAAACTGTAAAAAGCAAATATTGTAAAAACTTCCAAGAAAGAATATTAATTTTAGGCTTACAGGCAGCTTACTTACACCTTAGTCACTCCTCAAATTCAGAATATCAAAACACAATTTTCTAATCTGCAGTAACAGAAGGAGTAGGAATTACCATTATTTCCTCGGATAAATGCATCTCCATACTTGTTCTTTAACTGTCCATTTACATATTCCTCAGTCTGCTCCAGAGCTATGTTCATATATCCATCCAGGCAAGCCAGGACACCTGAAAACAGTGGCAGTTTAAAAGAGAATCAGCTTCAACTCTTTTTTAAAATAAACAAAAATGCACGGTGTTTGAACAGTACAGGAAAAAAACCCACGCTGTATCCTTATAACAAACTAAAAACCCAAGCGTGGACAGATGTTTTCAAGGAATTCAGCTGGAGAAAGGAATCCCAGGCACTCTGGTAGCAATGTTATCAGTTGTTGTAAGAGTTGTGGGAGTAAAAAAAAGAGGTTTTTAAGGCATTAATTCAAAAGATGGACAATTTCCATTTTGAAAGTTCAAGCTGTCCCTTCTCACTTGTGTTTTAAGCACACACCAAAAAACACCTGGGGCATTAAGTGTAACTGGATAACCTAAGGACAAAGCTATGCAAACTGAGTTGTCACAAAACTTGTGAAGGATATAGCTGAAAAACAACCCTTTTAATACAGGACAGCATACACATATTTCATGCTTACAGAGCTAGAAGAACACTGTCTGCAAGCCTCTGTTTTGATGTCAACAAAATTCTACACATTTTTCAACAAAGGCCACCGAAATCTTCCCACAAAAATAAAATTACAATGTTTTGATAATGCAAGAAAAAAAAATCTGTCATTTGCAATATTAGATTATTTTTTTGGATCAGCAATATACACATTTTAGTAGCACAGAGGTAATACAGCTTTTTACAAGTTGTTTTGTCTTCCTCTTGCATGTGGGTCTTCCTGACTTTATCCTTGCACAGACAATACTACTTAAATAACTTTTTCCTCTGTCTGAAAAACACCTAGCTATTTACCTAGCAGTAAAACTTGAAATATATTAAATTGGCTGTTCTTAGGAAGACGGAGAAAACTCAGGACACACTCTCATTTTTCAGAAGCGTTACTGCAGGATCTTCTAGTTAATAATCAGGAATTCAACTTCTTCTGCTAATTTGTCATGGCTTAAAGATTATTATTTTCCTTTCTGTTTTTCTCTCCTCTGTTTCCACAGGCACAGAAAAACTGCTCACAAAGTGCCACTAAATGCATCAAAAAGACCCAAACCAAAGTCAGGATTCTTTTCCACTCTAGTAATTCTGAGGTATCCATACAGCAACAAAAAACAAAAATATGTTTGTACAAAATTAAAACTGGACCGTGTGGATTTACCTCAGTTACATACAACTCAGTAGGCCATAAATGCAGTATTTTCAAACTCTTTTGCTCCTAGAGTGCATTCATGGCTGTTTCATTCTCTTCCTCCTTTTCTTTGTGCTTACTCTTACACCACTAATGGCATCAAATATGATCACTGCCCATCCTGGCTAGCAATTTATCTGTTTTATCTGTATGTAGAGATGTTTTAATGTACATATCCATATTTACACACAGAAACCACACATTAATGTATTGATCATTTCCCAGGGCTTCCTGACTTGGACATTTGCAGCTTGGCAATGGCTGAAGACAGGTCATTCACAGATCAACGCTTGCATGAGGCCACATTGGTGCTGGTGTGTGTGGGGCCTCCGAGGGTGGAGGCAACAAAAACATCAACAGCACAGCCTGGGGGAGAATCTGGACAGCTCTGCAACAACAGCTCGAGATGCTGTTTTGTAAATGTTTGGCTTTTACAAATGCTGGTCACATTTCTGCAGAAAACAAACTAAGTGTGCATTTTTCAAACAAAAACACTACACGGATTTTCTGTCACAAGATCAAAGGAGTGCAGGGAAATAAGGAAAGGAAGGGGGGGAAAAATCCAGAGACAAATAAGGATGTTCAGGGAACTCTTGTTCAATTAATGTGGTGTCAGACTGTAGGCATGTTAAACCAGCTCTGCTGAGGGGTAAGTTGAGTGGTTCATTTACAAATGGATTTTACCAAGGGAGAGGTAGCAATGGTCTCAATGAAAATAGGAAGTGCAGCAAAACCCAAATCTGGTTTGGCCCTGCCTTGTGTGCACCCTCAGGTAAATGAGGACTTGCTTTAACTGACTTTAATGAGCTCTCTCTACATTCTCCTGCACTGAAGAATTTACAGAGAGGCAACAAACTTCTTAAGCCCCCAACCCCACCTGAAGTGCTCAGACAATGTGGTTCTCAAAGAAATGAGAGACTGCAAATTTTGTCAGCTGAGCAACACTGCAGAGAAACAGGAAGGAGTAAGAAGCCACTGCTTGCTCTGTCAGTGAACAACAACAATTTAAAATTGTCCTAGCACAAAGATTCCTTGTCACTGCACAAACAAGTCTCCTGCCACAAATGCCAAGCTAAGCCACTTGAAGTAAACCTCTCTGAAGAAGGGGTCTGTTGCAGAACCATAATGTTTAAGTCAGTATAGAATAAAATTTCTTACCTGAGCACAGCAGAAGATACATGATTCGTTTTGACTGAGTTTGGACACTGCTAAAAAATTGGTCAGGTTGATACTGTTATCTTAATAACAGCAGGACCAGGACATTTCACTGCACAGAGAACTTTAATTTACTGATAAAAAAAAAAATCTATAATCCTATATACATGAAAGTATACTGACAGACTTGGCAAAAGCTACACTAAACTTTTCCCTGTATCTCTGTGAGCCTTGACCTGACACAGATCTAGGCAGCTCTTTAACCAAGAATGTCAAGAATGCTTTTCATTGTGTAAGAATTCTATTATGACTGACAGCAGAGTTTACTCCGAAGCTTTCCTGGATCAAGATCTGTATTACCTAAATAGAGAATAAAAAGGTGAAGGAAAGTCTAGTTCCAACAAGGGGTGTTTCTGGGCATTTCAGGAGTTGTAATTCCAGACAATCTTTCCAAGTATCAGTTTAGAAACTCAGAATCATCCAGTTTAATCACCTGTGACCACGGACACTAATGATTTAGATCAGTAATTTTAATCTCTAAACCCACTGTTGTTACCCCCAACTTTTTATCACTTTCTCTAGAGCTGATTTTCTATTTTTACTGTCACTATTCTGAGATCTATATTCTCATACTTCACGATTCGGGATCACACTGCTTCTCTTTTCTAAATCAATGCATGTATTCCAGCCTCCTCAATGAATTACTTTACTCACTGAGAGACAGATGGAGAACTTACCTCGATAATCAACTCCAGAGTTTAATTTTACAACAACTGGCCTTCCAATGATTTGTTTTAGGAAGTCACTGGGGGTTTGCTTCCGTAGACTCATCTTGATCTCCTCTGGTAAGCTGAGAAGTGAAGAGAGAACATTAGGATAAGAGACGTGCCTCCACATTGTTTTAAATACTCTGTACACACAGGCACACTCCTGATTTGTAATACTTTCAGTAGGAGAAAATACGGAAGGAAATGAAAGCAAAACTTTAAGGGTTGAGGTGAGGAGACAGAGCTCCTAAAGCCAGTGCATTCAACTTTTCCTTTGGCATTTTTATCACTTCTGAAAGTATTACTAAGAATCCTTGTTTGCCACACCGTGCATCTTGTAAATTTCAGCAGGCCTCATAATCTCTAAAACCTTTTGCTAAAATGCTTTTAGAGGGCTAAGCCATAAATAGGTGTTTCATGTCTTTAGGGGCGGAGGGAGCAGCACACCCACGCTCTATACACAGAAGTCTGTGCGAGAACAGCAAGAGTAATTTTGACCTCGGCTCACAAACAGAAGAAAAGCATAAATTTAAAAGCACGCCTTCAGATAATAAAGCAAACTAAGTTAAGGCTTGTGATTAAATGACAGAGGAAAGATGCGGTGATTTATAAACGCAGCAGGCGCACCCAGTTTGGTGCAGGACCCCCTCTCAGCACTCGCCTGACTTCTGCTCTAACATCGCTTTGTTCTGCGTCTGGAGCCAAGGCAGGAAACACCGCACGCTGCCCGCTTCATTTCGCTGCTTCCCGGGGCAAATCGCAACGGGCAGTTCCGGCCGTGAATCCAGGGATCCTCACCGCTTCCCTATCAACACCCACCGTCACCGCCCATGCCGGCGCCCCACGCCTGCGTCCCCTTCCCGGACCACACACGCGTTTGGAGCCGCTCCCTCCGCGCGGAACCCCCGCCTTCCAGCCCGGGCCCAGCCCTGGGGGAGGTCGCGGCCGGCGAGCGCGGCTCCATGACTCCCAGCCCGGGAGCACACACACGGCCCCGGGCCGGGCCCGCACTCACCGCCGCCGCCTCTCCCGGCGCTTCCCGCGCCCGCCGCTCCCCGCCCCGCTACGGCGGCCGGGCGGGACAGCCCGCGCAGAGCCCGAACGCGGGGCGGGCCCACGGCCCGCAGGGAACTCGCCCGAGCCGCGGGGGTGAGCCCGGCCCCTTCACGGAGATTGGGGGGTTTTATGGCTTGCTTGGGGTTCCACACAAAATAACACCCGATCGGAGAGAAATCTTACAGGATGTCTTGTGGGAAAAATCTTACAGGATGTTATATGGGAAAAAAAACCCCACAGGACCAGTTAAGTTGGGCAAGGCCTCGGAGACCATCGAGTCCAAGCTATCAGCCAGCACCACCCTGTCAGCCAGACAGACCATCCACCGAGGGCCGCATCCAGGCCCTCCTTAAGCACCTCCAGGGATGCTGGCACCTCCCTGAGCAGCCCATTCCAATGTCCAGCCACCCTTTCTGTGAAGGAATTCTTCCTGATGTCCAATACGGTACTCATTATTGTATTCTACTATTCTACTCCAATGGGACCCTGTTAATTCCCAAATGATCTTGTCCTTATAGGAGACACGGTGAGCACCTCACTGGTGTCCTGTCCAGGAGCAGACAGGAAAGTGCTGAAGGTCATTTCACAGAGCAATCAGTGAACATAGAAATGTAAGAGGTTTTTTGGTTTAAGTCACCTGGGAATAATTTGGCACAAGAAGAAACTGAACTCACCTTCTGCTCTTCTCCTTATCATCTCACTTGTTTTTCCTCCTTTCCCCCAGCTATCCCCTCATGTCTGGAAAATACTTCTTTTTGTCTTTCTTTTTTTTTTTTCTTTTTGTTTTCTTTTTAGAATTTAGTACTGTGACAAGAGTTAATCATCTGTGAAAGCTTCTGAACTGTTTTGTTTTGTTGGGTTTTTTATCTGTCCGGTATTGATTTAGTATCTTGTCAAACCTCTCAATTCTCATGATACAAAGAAAATGTACCGTGGCTTTTCAGAACACAGATTTGTATTCTCACTTCTTTCTAGAGTTGTTTATCTTCTCTTTTTGAACACGTGTCCAGTAACAATTTTTTCTCGAATGTTTAGACTAAAAGGCTTTTAAGAGGCAAGAGCTGCAAACCTGACCTTATTCACCTGCCTGTCCCAGAGTTCAAGCACAGGCAGGGACAGGGAAGTTTGGCCACACTGTGCCTGTGTTTCCAGGCAACCGTCATGTTAATCAGGAGCATCCAACTGTGCTTGATTATATCTTCTAGTATTTGAAGCAGAAAAGGAACATAAAATAGTTACTCCAGGGAGCAGACTTGCAAAGTTTTATTTGGCTTCCTGGCTTCAGTGAATAATGCTTTGATAAGGGAATATTCCTGTTTTCATTGTTATCAATCTCCAGTATAAAGATTGGGCAAATAAAACTTCCATGTCTGGGCTGGTAAATTTGCATGGCAATTTTGCAAATCCAACCAGGGACACTTTGTTTTTTGTGAGCCTTCCTCTTTGTTTTATTTCTTACAAGCTTGCCTTCAGAGCTTGTATTTTTTTTTTTCCCCGAGCCATCAGAAACTGATGAGCTGTTTTGCCTTCTGCTCAATAGGCTGCTTTCTAGCTAGCTGAGGCTTATACTTAATTACAGTTTCTACATGTATGGATACTTTGATTGTCTGCTTTCAGTCAACAAAATCCTTGTGCTTTCCTGCTTCACAGCCTGTGAACCTCAAACACATCAGAGTTGAATCATGGGCATTGAGATTGGCGATTTCTGTATCTTTAGCTCCCTTCTTCCATACTTTGAGACCAAGTCACGAACCCAAATCTTGGGTCATTTTCCTTGGTTTGCCAGAGGTCTCAAAGCAGTCTCATGCTGTTCCTAGAGGTAAGTTAGCCTTAAATGGACTCCTTAAGGATTCCAAATCTCCAAGAGTGAAAATAGAATTCAGATGTCATTGGCTAATGATTATCTTTTGTTTGTTTGTCCTCTAGATGAAAAAGTATTTTGATCTAAAATGTTGCATAGCTGGCTCTCAGTAGATTGCTTTAAATTCTGCATTGATTTATCTTTTCCTAGTGTACCATGGTAGAGCTTTTTCAGCTGTATAACTCATGGAAATCAGTGAGATGCTGCCCTTGTGTTTTAATCAAGATGAACTTGAAAGGTGAACATTGTAAGTGATAGAAATTATTTATAATTTGGTAATAAAAGTTTATGTCTAGCACTCCAAATTTCACACATCTGCTATGTGCTGGCCTTGAGATATAGAACAATTGCAATTGCCTTTACATTTGGCCTCAGACGAAGGGTCATAAATTACAATGATAGAGTTCGTAGTCGTTCCCAGCTCACAAAATTTCCATATTAACATCTTCACCTCAAACACAAATGGTTACAGAGTTACAAAGTAAAGAGTTGTGTTGGCCTTTGTCAACTGAACTTTAAGATGGAAGTCTGTGGATCGTGTACTATTGCTAACTCTTAAACATAAAGCATCACAGAATCCTTGTTCAGCGGACCTAATTAAAACTTTACAGTTAACTTTAAAAATGAAATGGGATTTCACTCTCACTCACTCTCTCTCTCCCCTATCAATGCAGTAAAACTCACTTCAAAGTTAGAAAGGTTTTTCTCTCCCAGCTACTTGAAATAAAAAGCATTTTCAGAGTGAGACAGCTGCAGAACACAGAATGGGTCAGAAGGAGTGTCCAGTTTCTCCTTTTCCTGTGAATTGCACATCGTTTATATAAGTTAAGTGCACATCAGCAACAATCCAGATGACAAAAGAATGTCTGTGGCACATTTTGAATTCAGCCTGAACAATTCCCAGCTACACCCAGTAGAAGAATAAAAGCCTCAGTCTTTCAGTTCTCATCTGAAACTTGTGTCAGAGAGAACAAATCCTTTCTGGCCCAAATCACAGCATATCACATGATTTTAACAATTAACTTTGGTGCCTTCTTAGGTTAGGAAAAAAGGAAAAAAGCACTTTTAAAAATTATGCAATGAAGTAAGAGGCCAAGATCATGTTCCAAATCCAGGGGAACATTTCTGGTTCAGAGCCTCTGAGAATGGGGAGGTAGAAGGAGGCATCAGCCTCCATGAAATAGTGTTGAGGTGGAGAAGCTCTGCAATTCAAGATTAGCACTGCTATTACAGGGTTTCCTGAGGGCCCTGAAGTAAACATGATAGTGGATTTCTGGGGTTTCAGAGGTGGAAGACAAAATTCTGCTCTCACTGAAGCCAGCAGAAATTTTGCTAATTACTCCTCCATTACTTAGGATGCCTCTGTAAGTTACTGAAAATACACCTGAGGTCTCAAAACCTTCCTTCTGGAGCTATGTTCTTTCACTGTGATTTATGCTTCTTAGAATTGTCTTCTTCTGATGTTTTGGGTGTGAGGAATAGGACATCAAGGAATTGAAGAGTGCATGAAGAAGCAAGAGAAAGAAAAGAGGTATTGGGACCTTCCTCCTTTTCCTCCTCTGCAAACTTTCTGGTGGACAAGGAGCTGTCAGCAGTTCTTCCAGGGAGCTCGGGAAAATAATGTAAGAACTCAACCTGAGGCTTTCTCTCTGTCTCCTACACTTTCAGTTCCCTAAAAAGGAAAGGAAGAGCCTCAGAAGCTTTCAGAGTTCACTTAACCCCCTCCAAGTTCCTGGGAATGCTTGGCTTCCCAAGGGCCTGGCTTTTTCATGAGCATTAGGAAGTCTGATGTTCCACTTTGCATGCATTTGGATGGGAGAGTTCAAGCCTCTCAGCATGTGAATGATTGTCTGTGTCTATACAGTAAAACTTCAAAGATGTTTTTCTCCTTAAACAGAGGCTTAGTTATCCAGCATTATTTCCCATCTGTGCTAGGATCATCAGAACTACTAATTTCTTTCCATGTTCTCAACTAAAAGGTTAACGTATTTTAGAATGGAACCTTACTCAAAAAAGTATTGGGTTTGAGCTATGGATTTTAGATAGAAGAGCCTAACAAAATTCTGTCATCTTCAACTTCTCACACTGTGCTCACCACCTTGGGATGTTCATCTCCTCCTCTATGGCATAAGTGACACAATGACCTTTTGTCACAAGTTTGTCTCTTCTATTTTCTGTCCAGTTAAAATATAGTGTGACAGATCATGTCAGGTTTGTGCTTTCTGTTAACCAAAGGCTGGAAGTCCCACTTGATTCCTTTTTTGCACCACTTAGCTAGATTTTTTTCTAAAATATGATGGACTTGGAGCAAAGCTTTTTGTGCTTAGACTCTATAGAATATTCACATCAGGGTAAAAAAACATTCTATATCTTTTGCTTCAGGAGTATCAATTCCAGATGATATTTCCATGTAAACTTCCCCACATCCAGTTTGATAAAGCTGATTCAGTGCTTCAGGTGGAAAACTCTGGTATCAAGTTTAAGCAAAGAAGGGGTTTGAAGTGGTCACTTTAAACTGACCTGCTGGTGCAAAACGTCTGCAAATTGGTTCCCAGCTCCCTAGAAATGCTTCTGATGCAGACTTGGGGATATGAAGCAAACATGAGTCAGATTTGTAGTGTAGTAATAACAATACATACCTTGTCCTGAATTTCAGTGAAAAAGGAAGGTTAAAATGTGTTCAGCCACCTTAAGCATGTAGAATAATGGGGATCATGTTACCATCACCATTTACTAACAGGAGAGCTGAATTTCTTTAGAAATAAAATGCAATTTAATGTCAATGTTAGGCCACTCCTATAGCATTTGTGAGTTGGTATTTTCCAATAGGCCCAAATTTCTGGCTATTGACTAAAAAGTAATTATTTTGTGAGGGGAATGAAGGAGAATGCAATTATTTTGTAATATAACAACAAAAATGGGTAAAATCAAAAGGGAAGACTAGAAGGCTATATCTATATGAAATAAACTGTTGTATGCTAGGCATACAGCAATAGCATAAAGTTCCACATTAAGTCACAAGTTAATTTTTC